GTATGAAGGCGCTCTTTCCATGGCTTCCTTTGTAGGTTATTTCTGTTATGATATGCGGGATATCCGCCTCTTCAATGGGCTGATGACATATTGCTGTAATTGAGTTATCGACTAATGTAGCAACTTTCCATTCTGCGTCCCCGGTACTATAAGTTTCGTAGCCCCGTAATTTTGGTTGTGTTCCGGCTTCCTGGACTGCTATGACAGCAGGTGGCTTTTGTTGCGACGCCACCAGCTGCAACAGTTGCCCTCTTTTCCGCCGGAAACCACGGCAGTTCCACTGCCATATTTCGCACTTTTCTGACCGCTGCGTTTGATGATTAGCCATTATGCGTCTCCTGGTTCATGGCCGACAATCCGGGCCTGTTGTAAATTTTCTCAGCTTTTTCTCTGATGTTGATGCCTGTGGCATGCTTTCGCAAGGCTTTCGTGAATTCGACGTGTTGTGCCTGGATTTTCTTGTCCAGAATCTCGAGCTTTCTATCTACATTTATCATTACTTGCTCTATAACTGTCGGTATAACTTCCTTTAATGTTTCTTTCAGCATCGACGACGTAATCATTGAGTCACCTCCTGCATTCGGTTGCGTCTGCGATTTCTGGCCACTCTGGGTGGGTATAGAGTTTTGTTGCGGGTGCTGCGTTTGTTGCTTTTTAGTTCCCTATTTTCGCGTTCTAGGTCACCTATTCTCACCCGCATTATCTCTAACTCACGTTCTAAGCGCGTGAGTTGTGGTGTTTGGTGTGAGTGTAGGGAGGATTTTGCTGCCCAGCTCACCTGGTTCTTCGCTTCCTTTTTCTGCGCCTTCTTGCCCTTGTGCTGTTGTTGCTTTGCTTGGGCCTGCTTGTGGCCACCATTCCTGGAGTTGGAGCAGTCTCGAGAGCCGGACCTGGATCGGGATGTAGATCGAGATCTGGATCGGGAACTGGAACGGGCCCTGCTTGGCGGTGCAGAGTCCTCGCGGTCCGTGCTGAACCAGCGTCTCTTGAGTATGCCAGTGGTTTTTGGTGTGCTGTGTTGGTGCGACAGCAGCGACCGGCCCTTTTGAGGGACGCGTTTGAGTTTCTTGGTGCACTCCGATGCCGCCGTGGGATGGCGTCCGCCGCACAGGGCACATTCCGGATCGCAAGTGTGGTCCTCAGGTGGGTCTCTTAGGCGACAGTTACTGCACGCCTTTGTCATTGGTGTGGGACAAACATCCGTCCTATGTCCCTGGCTCTTGCAGAGTTTACAGTACTGCCGTGTGGGTTGATAAGGCACGCACGGCATTTCGCCACCGTAATAATACACGAAGCGCGGCAGTATTGGTCCATCGAACGTGATCACTGCAGTTTGTGACTGTCCGAGCATGCGGGCTTGAACAATTGTCACTCCTTGAGTGCGCACTCGGAGATGGCTCAGGAGTTCAGCTTCTGGCGTTTCGCGTTCTAATCCGTGTACCACTCCTTTCAGGTATCCAGCAGGAGTGGATATGTAGGTGTTCACGGGATAGTTGGTGCCATTGAGCTCCAGTGTCTTTATCTTCAAGATCCTTTCTGCTACATCTTCGTACGGAGTGCTTGCAATAATTATGTTTGATCCGTTGCGAAGGCGAAGCAGAAATTTGTGGCTGTTACAGGCCTCCGGGTCACCGCTCGCATGTTCTATCGCTCGCGCAACCTGGTATGCTTTCAGTTCCTTCACAACTAACCCTGGTCTGGGCCGCATGATAATCTTCATATCGTTTTTGGGCAGCGGCGCCGCGCGCGTTCGTCGTCGGCCCCTTTCAGATGCTCTTCCGCGTTGCTCTTCTGCAAGCGTTCTAGCGCCGGAGCTGTTGCTCTCAGTTTCGCCTCGAGCAACGCTGTCATCACTCGCGGCGCGTTCTTGTTTCCTGATGCGTTTTCGCTGTCGCAATGACATAGCTACCTGCCACTGACCATTCTTGGCTTCGTCGTCGCGTTCCTCCGCAGAGTCTTTTTCCTTGTTCTCGGCGTCGCTAGTAGATTCCCCTTGTAGCACCTCGTCAGGTGAAAGGAAATCTTCGTTGGCGTCCACCGCAGAGCTCACTTGGGTTTCGATGTCTTGGTCATCCATGTCCATAAGTGCCTGGGCTAGTTCCGGGTCGTTGTCCGTTGGGGTTCGGGCAGGTGCAGCGCAACGCGTCGGCCGAGAGCTGGCTGCCAGGACTCCGCGTTCCGCTTCGCCGCGAGGCTTAGCGTGGCGGGTTGGCATGCTCTGCCGAAGGTCTTCACTTCCCAGAGGAAACCGGGATCGCTTGTCCAAAAAGGTGGTGTCAGCGTGTACCTGACGTCTTCCTGCACAATTCCCGTAGTTTCACTGGTAGTCACATGATTTTAACCGCTGCTAGGTACGATGATTGACGGAGCCGATGTGAATGCGTGTGCACTCCTCGGCGCCACCTGGCGGTCCCAAAGACCCTTGGATAGTGTCTTTAATGGAGTTCCTATCGAAGTCATCACCGAGTACCGCCAGTCGCTCGCTGCGGCGCACAGCTCGCCATTTCACTATGCGCGATGGACTACTTTGCCGCCGCAATTACCTAAGTGAAGGTCGCAAGTGGTTGTTGGTGATTCCTCGCCATCTACGTGCCGATATTTGCGCCTCGTTCCATGCAGACCCCCAATGCGGCTACGCTGGTGTAATAAAGACGTATGCACGCCTCCGGCTGCGGTACTACTGGCGTGAAATGTACCGATTTGTCCGCCAATACGTGCGTTCATGCTCAAAATGTCAACGCCGGAAAAGTTCACTGCATGCCGTCACTGGACCGCTCCAACCGTTGCCCTGCCCATACCGACCTTTTGATCGCATCGGAATAGACTTATACGGCCCACTTCCATACACACCTGACGGGAATCACTGGGTGGTTGTCACTATTGATCATTTGACACGGTATGCCGAGACTGCCGCGTTGCCAGAGCCTACACACGAAGTCGGCTTATTTATTGTTCACAAACTTGTTCTTCGCCACAGCGCTCCTCGCGAGTTACTCAGCCACCGTGGAGCACGTTCCTCTCAGAAGCCGTACAAGACCTCCTGCGTGAATGCAATGTTGTTCATCGAACGAGCAGTGCGTACCATCGCCAAACCAATGGCATGACTGAACGCTTCAATCGCACATTAGGCGACATGCTGTCCATGTATGTATCTGCTGACCACACCAACTGGGACCACATATTACCATTTGTCACCTATGCATACAACAGCGCCACTCAGTCCACGACTGGATTTTCTCCCTTTTTTCTTCTATATGGCTGTGAACCCTCCTCATTTATGGATACCATTCTGTTGTATCGCCCGGATACTTCAGAGTCTGCAACTCTCTCAGAACTCGCCACCTATGCGGAAGAATGCAGGCAGCTAGCACGTTCGTTAACCACACAAGACCAAGCACACCAAAAGGACCGCCATGATGCCAACCTGCATCCCCAGTCATATTCACCTGGAACATTGGTGTGGCTTCGCGTTGCCTCCTCAGCTACAGGCCTTTCTTCAAACCTGCTGCCTAAGTATGAAGGCCCCTACCGCATCCTGCGTCAAGCATCCTCAGTAAACTATATTGTCGAGCCCGTCCAATCCACAGACCGCCGCCGTCGCGGCCATGAGACTGTTCACGTCGACCGACTGAAGCCGCACTATGACCCTCCAGTCGTACCTGTGCCTTAGGTCGCCAGCATGGCTCTTTTTCCGCAGGGGAGTGATTTGTAGAATGGATAGGGTGCATTTAGCAGTGCCTGCAAAAGACGAGGAAGAGGACTGTGGTTCGTGCCCGTGACAGCTCCGATTTGGATCGCTGAGCGCTTGACCTGTGTTCGTTTTTAATAAACGCGTCGACGACTCAACGCTCACCGCGTACTATCAATTTGAACAATTTAAATTCACCACCATGCAGATCAACAGATTTATCATGCCCTCTCTGTTCTGTCCTTAATTTTTCTTCCCCGATGATACGCATATTTTGTATTTCAGTACTGGTAGTTATGCTTGGTTGATTCACCACAAAAAGTGCGCTGATTCACCATAAGATGTGCCCCATCAAAATGGTGCTGTAAGCACGAGGATCCTTCAGGTACACAGCTTCCTTCACATTTATGATATAAAGAAACCAAACCACATTTATGATATAAAGAAACCAAACCAACGTTCTAATGCTTAGCAATGGCTGCTATACTCAGTTTCACACGATAGATGCAATGCTGTGGATGCTAGTGAGACTTCTTGAAGCAGATACATTCACACTAAAAAAAATAGTTGGGTGTTGTGCCAACCTAAATTGATTTTTCTTTTTGCTCTTGGTGTTGGAAGGATAAACAAATTCTGCTAACAGGCTGCTATGATACGGCTAGATTGCTTAGCACCTTGCTTTTTTTGTTTCTAGTTATTTTTAACTCGCAGCCAACTGAGGTCACATCACGTGGAGACTCATGAGAGCATTTGACAACAAAAGCCAATCATCAGATGCGTGCTGTTATACCATTCGCTGACCAAACTTCTTGCAGCAGCATTACACTTGATATACCGTATGCACTTGTGTAAATACTGCACTTTTTTTCTGTGCTTTGATGTGGTTGCTCTTCCACAGAGATTTAAAATTTATAATATTTACGATCCACGAACTAAAAACCTATTTATTTGTACTATATATATCTAACTGCAAACATCCTCACTGGATATATTCATAAGTCGCTTCTTGGGCTCTGCTTGTCACCACTGCTTGGGTGATCTGCCCATTCGTGTATCCAATCGTCCTCAGCCCTGTCCATGGCCTCTCTTTATAATAATGTTTATGGACACTGCACGCCACAAATTTAAAATCCGAGAGCAGACGAGCTGAAGTGCCGCCCTTTTTGATGCGACTACGCTGCTGTTTGATGGCAATAATTTTTTTTTTAATTAGGGCTCTCCAGTTGGGGGGAGCCGCCTGTACACAAGTGCAGCCCTTAGTTGAGTTCAGATGGTACGAAACAAAATAAAGCACTGTAAGTGAAAGTCTTACCCTGTTTGCGTGTATTCCTGCATGATGTAAGCAACCTTCTGCACCAGCTGGGAGGTTGGGATGGGTTCACTGTACATCAGCTCGTACTGCTGGGCCAACTTGCGTGCACGGCGCACCAGCAGCCTGCAAAATGGCTGGGATCACTTTGCAGGCAGCGAGAAACCGCAGGGAGTGAATGTGTGGGGGAGACAAAAGAACTTCCTGGAGAGGCTGTAACGACATAGGTGCGACAAACAGAGGAGAGATTAGTTAAGCACAGCGAGGCAAACAACCACTGCATCTCTTCCGACAATTCCTGCATCTTCAACTTAAGAAACCAGCTACCATAAGCGGTTTTTGTGGAGTTCTGGCACATTCAGGCAACACTTGGTAATGCGAATCGGTCTGCAGATGTGCTGCGGAGTGTTTACTTCTATGCACCTTCGCACATCACTCCAAACAAGTGGGACATGAATAAAAGGAAAGAAGGCTATATACACTATAGTGCTCCCCCCTGGTCCCCTACAGTCATCCCTGAAGAAGCATCCAAGTGGGACCTGAAATACCCGATTTTTTCATTAAGGCAAAAATATTGATAGACTATTTTTTTGCATTATTTGAAATCTGCAGCCTTTTCTGAACCAGAATCAACCATTTACTTGTCTTAGTCAATTTTTTTTTCTCTAAACACGACATATTTCGAAACAGGCGTGGAAGCCTGCCATGCCCCCCATTCTTATGTAGAAAGGGATTCCTTGCAGTTCAAGCATCATAGCCATATGAAAAAGTTACAGTTTGCAAGTTGGAATGTATTTGGCGCATTCAGATATGAGTGGGCTCAGAATTGTGAAAACGAAAGAAAACAGAGTCATACGCTTTCTGTTGAAAAATCTATACCTGGTGGAAGACAACTTAAAGGTGTCATCATTGGAGAGCACCAAAATATTATTGTCGGGCTATTAAAAGAAATAGAGCCACCTTGGAGGAAATGTTAAAAGCTATCCAGTCCACATATTTTCACACGGCATCAAACGAAAGGATACCAATTAATCCCACAACATTTGAACAATGAACGCCAAAACTTTGTTTAAAATCAAGCAAGCATAGTTAAATGGTAAATCATACTCTTGTGACCTCCCCGCAACACGGACTGAACACCGGTTTTTTCAAGATGTTTATGCTCGTTTCTTAAACCCACGCATTAAAAAAACAGGAAAAGAAAACCTTCGGTGTTACGATTGAGCATTCCGGAGTGGAGTACCTGGAAGGATTGTTTCTACTGTCCTCGCGCATCCCCGCGCAAACACGAGGACCGGGCGGCGCCTTGTTGTCTACAGACAGTGTGACAGTGTACGGTGGCAATAATCCGCGCGCACTCTTCAGATTTGTGGCATGGGGGAGCAGCAGAGCACCTTTTGTTGGTTCGGGGAATGCGAGCCTACCACAGCGCCTGTGCCGGGTCCGGTCTGACTTTCCGTCAGCCTCTGTGGCTCGAGGACTCATTACTGCGTTCTGCGCGGGTGGCCACCCGCGGCGTTGAATAACGAAGAAGCGGCGGCTTTGGAGAATTTCGCGGGAGACACCGAGCTGCATGGAGACGTCGAGACTCGTTCTGGACATCGGCTCATCAAGTACCAGAAACCGGGACAATTGGTTCGGCCAAAAACATTTTGGCACAACACTACAAACTCCGGACGTTGGCCATTACAGACGACGCACTTTGTCGGAAGCATCGGGACCATTGTTCGCCCGTAATTAAAGTGTCTTCGGACGGCTTGCCCATCTCTCCCTGAGGCTTGAGTTTGAACATTGTTACTTGCTCGGCTTTGCTTGGGAGAGGGTTCTCCGCTGATGCGGGCTGCGGGGACGGCCGTCGAAGATGACACACTCCGACTGACAAGAAAATATGCTGCGTCGATAGTGGCGATTGGTTTGGTGCACCGGTAGGGCGGAGTCGGGTCCTACAAAAAGTGACGAGACGCTACGAGGAGAGTAACAGAGACGGAGCGTTGAGATTGAGATGGTAGAAAGACGGAATGGAAAAGGAAGATAAAGGTGCAAAGAGATAGCGATGAGAGGCGATGAGATGATTACTGGAGCAAGGACGGTACGATGAGGAATAGAAGTTAGGGATAGGAGGCGAGTGAATGGAACGTTACGAGAGAAGGCTAAGATGGAAATCACTGAGAGGCACGACGAAGGTGACGAAGACGATGAAGATGCTTACGAATCGGACAATGACCCCAGGAAGAAGCTCTGAGCCCCGACTCGAACAGCCAGCACCGAGGCCTCCGTCAACATGAACCTTTCGGGAGACGGACTTTATGCACCTTATTTAGATTAGCTTTGCGGGAAGGGAGGTGGCATGTTGCGACATTGCGAGTTTTGGTAACTGATAACTTCATCGTGTTTGTGTCGTCATGCGTTTACTTTGTATCGCCGCACCATTGTATTGTCAAAGTTATTTCCCTTATGTATCCTGTGTCGAATGTCGCGAGTGTCTAAATCATGTGTTGTAATTTTGTGTAGTGCTTGATGTACGCGGTTATACGATATTTGCACTTGGTAATAAATTAAATGAATCAGTAAACAGAAACAGGTCGTAGCGTCTCTTGCCTCTCGGCCCCAGCACGAATCCCTGTATGTGAGAAGTGATTGAGACACATAGCCAAGAGGGAACCGGATAGACAAGGGGTTGAGTGGTCTTCCCTCTCTTTGGTAATCGGTGGCGTAGCGGGGGACGTCTCAAGTGGTGGCAGCGGTGGGTTTACTACGGGGGCAACGGTGCAAGATTTCACCCTCGTACTAGGGAAGGAGAGGCGGCAAAATGAACGAGCAGGCTACCAAGATGACCGACAGAGACGACCCACTAGAAATGAGCGCGTTAATATTAGCGGACATGGTTCCATCGTTTACGGGAGGTGATACGGGTCCAGATATTGGGGTTTTCTTGAAAATTTTGGAGCAGGTTGGTCGCTTGGGTGGATGGCGGGATAATGAGCTGGTCTGCATAGCACGATACAAGATGGTAGGCGCGGCGCACGATTTTGCGTGGTGGGATGATGGCGTCACTGCGGCTGCAACTTTTTCCGAGTTCAAATATTTGGCCCTCAAGAGGTTCGATACGGCGCCACCTATCTTTAAAATTCAACGGTTTTTAAATGCGAGGCAGAGGGCAGATGAGGAGGTGAGGTCATTTGCAAGTCGCTTGCGCATGCTCGGGACCGCCACCCTGGCGAGCTCCGATTGTCAGGATCCGGTAAAAGCTTCACTGCGCCGCGAAATTCTAGCCGAACAATTGCTCTCGCAATTTTTATTAGGCCTGAGGGATCCGGTCCGCAGATTTATTCTCTCGAGACCCGAAAACGTTTGACGAGGCCATTGCCATAGCGGTCAAGGAGGAACAGAATGAGAAAGTGTCGAGGAGCCATTCGTTACCCGTTCGATACGTAGAAGAGAACACGGAAGTTCATGAGATGCATAGCCGCCTTGACCGCCTCGAAAACTTTGTGGAGAGCTTGGCAGTACGCAATAAGGTGAAACAGAATCGGCAAGAATTCCTGAAGCGGCTCCCTTATCCCGGCGGGTGCTCTAACTGTGGCAGGTTTGGTTACTTTTGGCAAGAATGCTACCGGTACAGGCGACGAAAGTGGAATTCGACGGGTGGCAGCCGCATTCACAAAGACAAGGAGGTGGTGACAAAATTCGAATCTGAAAACCTAGACGCAACTCCTCCTCATGACGGTGACGCGCAGAGGTCAATCGCGATCGTAAATATTCGCGAGGAAACAAGCTCCATAAAAATGAGTCGCGATTCACCGTGGGCGGAAGTGGTTAATGTAATTTCCGTGATCAAGAAGGAAGTTCCGCCATTGAGCGAGTGTGTGTTTGGGAGAAACGCTCGCACGCCGGTGCCACTGGGTGAAACAAAAGCTGTCGAGGTTGCTGGAGCAGATACAGACGGTTTAGCTGCGGTTTCTACCTCGAAGGTCCCACAAGACGATGAGGCATTACCAGTAGCAGTGGCAGATATGGAGTTGGATGAGAATGGGTTTTCTGAGGATGCAGTTGCCGGAGTCTTGGTCGACACGACGGTAGACCGAAGGTTAGAGAGAGTAAGTGAGATTGAGGAATGCCTAGATCGCAAAGGGGTGGTTTTTGTGGGGTCAAAGGAGAACTGCAGCACACTCGATGTACACCGCACCAAACCCGGACGTGCGCAGCGGTGGTCTTATAAGATAGCTTCGCACATGCCTCACTCCGCGACTGAGTTGAGCAGACTGAGTTGAGCAGGTGGAAGTTCGGACCATCCAACGAGGGTCCAGGACTCATAGTCGGGGAAGAGGTCTGCATACAGGTAGACGCTGAGCGCTCGGGGATCGGCAAGGGTCATAAGAGTCCGCAATGTTGTATGCGATTTTATGTTCTATGATTTCTGCTCGGTCATTGTGCTTGTTACTTTAGTGGAGACCTTGTATTGAAGTTTAAGATTTTTATTTTGTTTTGCTTTGGCTTGTACACTTGTTTTATTTTGTTGATTGTGTTTTGAAATGAGGCAGGTAGTTCGCTCGGTTATTATGGTTTTGTGTTGTTTGCGGCATGTGATGTTGATCGCTGAGTGAGTGGTACCACTTGGGATCGATTAACACCTAATGATGGGGGAAGAACATATAGTCAGTGAATGTGAGGTTACCTAGATCTCGCCACTTGTCGCAAAGAAACGTGAAAAACGGACTGTTTTAAGAAACGAGAAAGTTCAAAGTGAAATGGGTTCATGGCGTCTCCCCGCACGGAAGTGCCGCACCTCGTTAGGAGGCAGGGAGCGTCGTGATCGGTATTGATGTACAACGCCCAATGTCACAGTTGTATAGGACAGCCTATACGCTCCTTTCTCAGCCCATTCGAACACGCAATTCACGTTGAAGGTCCCTTTCCTTCACCGACAGGTGCAGGAGAGGCCGGGCAGGAGATGGTACGCGAGGGTAATTCAGTGTTGCTGGCCGTATGACCTATGTTCTCCCGCCATCCTGCTTTTCGTTTGGTTTGAGATGTTCGATAAGATCTTAAAATTTTGTGCATGTGTGGAATGAAAGCGTATTGAAATGTGTGTATCCTCTGTTCGGTTGTGCCGAGAGTGGACAGCG